GCTGCATCCTTTGTATTAATTTTTGAAGAGCACATCCTCCAATATGAAATAAAATTGGTGATACTTTGTACATCTGATAATTTATTTCTTCATATTTGATTGCTAATTTGGCTGCTTATCTCATCAAGGTTGGAAACTAGCCTCTAGCTTCCAGTGTTATTTAATGTTGAGAAACTAGATGCCATATATATTTATAGTCCTTTGATTGTGACTTTTTTCCCTCAGGAAGACTTTATTTTTTATTTTTTTGGCTTGGTTACTTTTGTTTATTTCATTGTGGTAAGAACACTTAACGTGAGATCCACCCTCTTAACAAATTTATAAGCATACAGTATTGTTGCCTATAAAGTAGGAAGACTGTATCTCTTCTCTTCCTCTAGGGTTCCAAAATTTTAGAATAATATAGATTGATTTGTATTTTTCTCCCCATTGTGCTGGTACTCAGCTCTTACAGTATGGGAGCTTCTATCCTTCAGTTGTAGGAAATTTTCTAATGTAGTTTCTTTTATAATCGTCATCCTCCCCATTTTGTTATTTTCTGTGAAATACCTATATTGATCCTATAGTTTTCTTACCTTTTATGTCCTGTTAACAATTTTCCCCCTATTTCCTGTTATTTCCTCAACTTAACTTCCAACTTCCCTATTGGATATTTTACTTCTGCAATCATACTTTTAATTTCCAAAGCTTTCTTTATCTTCTGATTGTCCCGACCTCCTCTCACTCATTTATAGGTGGAGTATCTTCTCTTAACTTACAAGAAATCAGTTTTATAGCCTGCTCCTTTCATGGGTACTGTTTTCTCCTAAGTTCTTTATGTTTTAGTCTGTTCTTTATATTAAAGGCTTTCCTCAAAAACCTGATGACCTATGGCTATTCATATTCTAGAGTGAATGAAGCCCAACAGTGCTGTCTGAAAGCTGTCTGAGTAGGCAGGGCTTCTGGACTGGTGAGTGCCATTGCATCCTTAGGTGGCCTTTCAGCTTTTTATTGAAGGGTTCCCAGATACCAGCATCTGTCTTTTCTCTTTGACCATTCCATTTCTCCAGCAAGTATCTTCCAGTCTCCTATTAGATGTAAGTCTGGCTGCTGTAGTTCTAGGAGCTGAATGGAAGAAGGGAACAAGGGACTTTTATTGTTATTTTTTTTCCCAAACCTCCTTCTACCCTCACTGTGTCTGGTATCCAAACTCAAGTCTTTGATTCAGTTTCTTGAAAAAATGAATATCCCATCTCTTCTTTGTGGGAGTAAGATCTGGAGAGATCTAACTGCATTGAAGCATATTTTCAACCTACCTCCCCATTTTCCACCCAGTCCTCCACCCAGACTTTCTGCTGCACCTGTGGGTCCTAGACTTTGCCTGCTCTGTTGGCTCTGTCCTTATTCCATATCACCCCTGTGCCTGGTGTCACCTACCTCTCCACTGTTGAGTTAGTTATTGCTCCTCTGTTCATTTTCTGTCCTCATATTTTGTGACTCGGGTTATAGATGCCTACTTTTATTGAAGATGAGGTTTTAATATTTATTTTTCCTTGTTTTGGGTTAACTTCTGTGAAAAGGATGGAACAAAAAATTTTCGCTCAGCCATTTTCAAACCAGACAGTTACTTCTTTTATATGCAGAAAAAAACAAAAAGCTGTTTTCCTTTCAAAGGGAAATCAAGTTATACTACTCATTAAGAAAGTTGGTAATGCAAAGCGGAAGTGATTATAACTAAAGGAAAAATTAAGAGAGACTTGGTTGTTTTTCAAGGTAGAGAGAAATTGAAGCAGTTCCTAGTAAAGGTAGGATTGTCATTAAGGACAGACTTTAGCCTCTGGTGTAGAACTAAATGACACAATTTAGAGATAGCAAGGAGGCAAGATGAGGAAGCTCACACCCCGGGAGTAAAGTTGGTCACTGAGTTAAACTGCTATTGGTATTTTTTCAGTAATAAAATCACCTGCTATTTTGAACTTCAGATGATGCCTTTTTTTCACATTATCATACTGAATTAAAGAGTTGAAATTATGTAGTATTAACAAAATATCTTCTAGGGGCTCCTTTATTATTATTTTCATCTTGAAAATAAAGTGTAAGCACTTACACAGTAACAAGCATCTCTTCTCTAATCAATGACTATATTCTTCAGCTTACTTTTTTGCTTCTCATTTAGTTTTCTTCAGTGGAATTTACTTGAACAGCAAAAGTGTACTGTTGAAAATACAGCAAAAGCATACTGTTTGGTGCATTAAGTGTTTTTTAAAAATTAGATTAAAATATTTTTCCCTATGTATTTTAAATGATTACATACCAGTGAGCTCACTAAATCAAATTTAAAAGTATAATCATCAGATGCTATTCAGTGTCGAGAAATGAAGTACTGTATAAGGCAAGTCGGTATCATTAGTTCACATTTTTCAGCACTTGCTGGTCATATTTGCCACGGCAGATACTTGTTTCAAACATTACTGCTTTGAAAATGGATTCAGATGGCTCTAAACATTTACTTGACTGTTTGGATTGTTGATGTTCCTCTGATATAATCAGAATGTTAAATGTGGCTGATTTTCTCAGTCACAAAATTCAACTTTGATTTGTAAAATATTTGATATTATATAATCTCTCTCCCTAATTCTAGGCTTAAATCTTATGCCACCTAAGAATTGTTAAGTAAATTCCATCCATAACCAATCATTACTATTAGTCTTAATAAAACTCATGATTTTACGTTGTAGATTCTAGTATATCTAGCCAATTTCATAAAAAAGGCATTGCCTTTTGGAAATTTGCCCATTTTTTTCAAAATTACCAAGAAGAATACAAAGGAGTATGTGTGTGTTTGAAGTACCTAAGTTTTTATTCAATTCCTTATTTTCTAAAAACTGCCTAGACTGATAGTGAAGTTGACCAGTTATTGAAATGAGTTGACAAAATTGCATTGGAAATGCTTGCAAGGTACTCCTACTGTTCAGTGGTGATTTTTAATTTAATTTTAACAGCTTTTATAACTTAAAACTTTTTATTTTCAGGCAATAGGAAATAAAACAAGCAGACGAAGTGTGAGAACTAGATAGGGTAGTGTTCCTCAAATACCAGTTCATAGGATGAAGAATTCACCGGTCTATTGTGAAATTAAAAATAAGAGGAGAGATCAGCATAAGATGTAACCTCAATAATAGCAGTTGTTCACATTTCAAGCATATATTTTGGCTGAGGGAAGAGCCTTGGCTTTTTCTAAATCACACTGAAAATTAGCTATAGCAAAGGAAGTCAGATTCTTGACTCTGTGACACTATGAGATTATTAGTATACATAATTTTTTTCTTTGGCATTTCTCTGATTACTGTAGGACTATTTTTATTTATTTCTTCATCTTCTCCTGCATTCAAATTTTTCCTCAGGAAACACATGCTACTTTTTTTTTTTTAAGGTATCATTGATATATACTCTGTGAAGGTTTCACAAGAAAAACAATGTGGTTATTACATTCACCCTTATTATCTAGTCCCCCCCCATACCCCATTGCAGTCACTGTCCATCAGTGTAGTAAGATGCCACAAGTTCCTATTTGTCTTCTCTGAGCTACACTGTCTTCCCCGTGACCTCACACACACCATGTACAATTATGATAACCCACAATCCCCTTCTCCCTCCCTCCCCACCTGCCCTCCCCCACCCCTCCCATTTGGTAACCACTAGTCCCTTCTTGGAGTCTGTGAGTCTGCTGTTATTTTGTTCCTTCAGTTTTGATTCGTCGTTATACTCCACAAGTGAGGGAAATCATTTGGTATTTGTCTTTCTCTGCCTGACTTATTTCACTGAGCATAATACCCTCTAGCTCCATTCATGTTGTTGCAAAGGGTAGGATTGTTTCTTTCTTATGGCTGAATAGTATTCCATTGTGTATATGTACCACATCTTCTTTATCCATTCACCTATTACTGATGGACACTTAGGTTGCTCCCATATCCTGGCTATTGTAAATAGTGCTGCAATAAACATAGGGGTGCATATGTCTTTTTGAATCTGAGAAGTTGTTTTCTTGGGGTAAATTCCTAGGAGTGGAATTCCAGGGTCAAATGGTATTTCTATTTTTAGTTTTTTAAGGAACCTCCATATTGCTTTCCACAATGGTTGAACTAGTTTACATTCCCACCAACAATGCAGGAGGGTTCCCCTTTCTTTGCGTCCTCGCCAGCATTTGTCGTTCCTAGTGTTTTCTATGTTGGGCATCCTAACTGGTGTGAGGTGATACATTGTGGTTTTAATTTGCATTTCCCTAATGATTAGTGATGTGGAGCATCTTTTCGTGTGTCTGTTGGCCATCTAAATTTCTTCTTTGGAGAAGTGTCTGTTCATATCCTCTGCCCATTTTTTAATCACGTTATTTGCTTTTTAGGTGTTGAGGTGTGTGAGTTCTTTACATACTTTGGATGTTAACCCCTTGTTGGATATGTCATTTACAAATATATTCTCCCATACTGTGTGATGCCTTTTTGCTCTGCTGATGATGTCCTTTGCTGTACTCAAGCTTTTTAGCTTGATGTAGTCCCATTTGTTTATTTTTTATTTTGTTTTCCTTTCCCAAGGAGATGCATTCAGGAAAAAGTTGCTCGTGTTTATATTCAAGAGATTTTGCCTGTGTTTTCTTCTAAGGGTTTTATGGTTTCATGGCTTATGTTCAGGTCTTTGATCCATTTTGAGTTTACTTTTGTGTATGGGGTTAGACAATAATCTGGAAGAATATGGAATGCTTCATGAATTTGTGTGTCATCCTTGCGTAGGGGCCATGCTAATCTTCTCTGTATTGTTCCAATTTTAGTATATGTGCTGCCAAAGTGAGCACAGTATATGTAATATTTAAGTGAGATTATCTTGGAACTGCCTTCCAGCATATCCGGTACTCTGTTTTTTTTTCATGTACTAATTATCCTTTTTCATCTTGTATCTAATTGGGTCTTGATATATAAACTATACAATATGAATGACAAATGATAAATGATTTCTTTTTTCCTTAGATACATCCAGAACGTGCCCAGAAGAAACTTCCTGCCAGAAAAACTGAAAAAGCAGTATTTATAACATTGGGATTTGTGGATAATTTGTTAAAATGGCAGAAAGTAGTGAAAACAATTGTAAAAATGTAGATGTAAGGCCCAAAACTAGTCGGAGTAGAAGTGCTGACAGAAAGGATGGTTATGTGTGGAGTGGAAAGAAGTTATCTTGGTCAAAAAAGAGTGAAAGTTATTCTGATGCTGAAACTGTGAATGCTGTAGAGAAAACTGAAGTTCCTCTGAGGAGCCGAGAACGGAAGCACAGCTGCTCATCCATCGAGTTGGATTTAGACCATTCTTGTGGGCATAGATTTTTAGGCCGATCTCTTAAACAAAAACTGCAGGATGCTGTGGGGCAGTGTTTTCCCATAAAAAATTGTAGTAGTCGACACTCTTCAGGGCTTCCATCTAAAAGAAAAATTCATATCAGTGAACTCATGCTAGATAAGTGTCCTTTCCCACCTCGATCAGATTTAGCCTTTAGGTGGCATTTTATTAAACAACACACTGCTCCTATAAGTCCCAAATCAGATGACTGGGTAGCCACAGACTTGTCTCAGAATGAATTGAGGGATGGTCAGCTAAAACAAAGAAACGTGGAAGAAGAGAGAAACTGTTTCTCACATACCAATGTTCAGCCCTGTGTCATAACCACCAACAGTGCTTCGTGTAGAAGTGGTCCTGTCACTGGCTCTTTGATGAACCTTATTTCAAATAATAGTATAGAAGATAGTGATATGGATTCAGATGATGAAATTATAACACTTTGCACAAGTTCCAGAAAAAGAAACAAACCCAAATGGGAAATGGATGAAGAAATCCTGCAGTTGGAAACACCTCCTAAGTATCACACCCAGATCGATTATGTCCACTGTCTTGTACCAGACCTCCTTCAGATCAATAACAATCCATGTTATTGGGGAGTTATGGATAAATATGCAGCTGAAGCTCTACTAGAAGGAAAACCAGAGGGTACCTTTTTACTTCGAGACTCAGCACAGGAAGACTATTTATTCTCTGTTAGTTTTAGACGCTATAGTCGTTCTCTTCATGCTAGAATTGAACAATGGAATCACAACTTTAGCTTTGATGCACATGATCCTTGTGTCTTCCATTCTCCTGACATTACTGGGCTCCTAGAACATTATAAGGACCCAAGTGCCTGTATGTTCTTTGAACCACTTTTATCCACTCCTTTAATTCGGACTTTCCCCTTCTCCCTGCAACATATATGCAGAACAGTTATTTGTAACTGTACAACTTATGATGGCATTGATGCCCTTCCAATTCCTTCTTCTATGAAATTATATCTGAAGGAATATCACTATAAATCAAAAGTCAGAGTACTTAGGATTGATGCACCAGAACAACAATGCTAGGAAAGGCTAGGAACACGGGGATGATTGCATACATATTTTCATTTAATATTTTATTTTTCTTATTATGCCACTTTGGATTTTTCTACAAGGGCAGTTAAGTCTAAAATAAACTTCTGCCCTAAATTTTACTTCCAGATCAGTTTATTTTTCTTATGATACACTAATTGTTTAAGGTTACATTCTAGGAGTTAATGGATATTTATGGCCAGGTGTTTAGTTTTTTATTTTACCATGTAGATTGTATACTTTCCTTTTCTTAATTGTAATTTGCATATGCTCCAGGGATATTTGATATTTGGTAGGCATTGCAAACACAGTTAAATAATCTATTTCATACCTTGCTTTAAAAATAATCCTCTGTCCTTTCCTACCTGTAAAATGCTTTCTTAGCCTATGTCATTGGTATTCCTGCACATATAAAATAGTTTCCCCAGTCCCTCCTACAGAGTTGCTTTAAATATCTTCAATAAGCTGAGTGTTGTAATTCACCATCCATACTAATGTAACTGACTTTTGTAATTTACTGATTGGGATATCAAAGGTGATATGATAACTTAAAATCAAACTTGATATGTTTTCATTTTAAATATTACTTAAAAATCTGGAGTACTAAATTTGTAATCTGGTCAGCAAGAATCAAATGAAAATGTGATATTTTACAGGTGAACTTATTCTACTGTGCGGCATGGTTATTAGTTCTTGAATAGAGCTTCCTCTCAACCTGGAAGAATTACCATCTTCAGAACATAAACATTGTTCCTTTCTCACTGGACACTTTAAAAGAAATGATAATATTATTTGTAACTAGTATTTACTAAAGTACTTAAGCAACTGTAGGGTTTTTCTGTATTTACTTATGACTGTTGCTTCTACTCAGCCCTTTCATAGAAACTGAGCCTGTTAACTTTGGGCCATACTGCAGTTTATAAACAGCTACAAATTTCTATTGGTAACCAAAGAATACCTAAGTAGTTTTCACTATTTTAAATTGAGCTTAAATAAAGATTCAAGAAGTTAAATGTAGAGTTCAGTATTCAGGAAGCTTAATACTGTTTTTAATCTTAAGGTTTCAAATAATCCTACCTTCAGAATTAATGTGTCTTTGTGACTCAAAAAAAAAACATTTTGAGAGCTGTATGACTTAATACCATACTGAATATAGTACCAGGCACCCAGTATAATATTTTTAATTTACTATACCAACAACGGGGAAGCATTCATAGAAGCATCATTATCCCAATACTAAAGTAAATTGAGTGATACCTTTACAACTCCTTTTTTAAAGAATCAATGAATAATAAATTTTCTAGATGGTCATTTCTTTTGGTAAACTGTTCACCCCTTTGTACAAATTGGCATTTTTAATATAGTAAATTGCGTTATTGATGCTACTTTAGCTCTAGTAGTATGCTGTTTTTACTTGGATTGAAAGACATGTGACTCAAATTTTCAAGTTAGAAGAGATGTCTCTTGAAGTATCATTGCTTTTATGTTGAAGTAGCATTTCACTTTACTCCAGTTCTGCTGTTAACATAAAGATGGCATATTTCAGTAACATTTAAAATGAATTTTCAGCAATTATCACAAAATTAAACCAAGAAAATCCTTACCTTTATCTTCTAGCATTTTTTTTCTCAGTGATCTCAAGATTGCCTTGGTTCCAGTGAGGGGTAACTACTCAAATGGCACCTCTCTTTCCAGTGATGAGGCTCAGGATATCATAACACCAGTATCAGGGTAAATATCTCTTCTAAAGATGTTTCCCTTTTACAAAAATAGAAAAGTTTCATACTACCTCATCTTTATTGTGGCGCTTTTGTAGATCACTGAGAAGCTTATCTTATTAATCAATATAACACTAAATATCCATCTTTGGTAAAAGAAAATTAATAGTATGGTAAGACTCTACCCATGATTATAGGTTTTTTATCAGAATTTGATAATGAAACTTTCTGTTTCTGTGAAACAATTATTTTAAATATTTTTCTTTTAAAAATAATTTTTTATCAGCACAGAAAAACCCAAGGATGACTAGCTAATGAATATTCTATTAAAGGGTAATTTTATAAAGAGAAATGAAATAGAATTATGTTGTCTTTTATAATGATAAAAATTAGTGTTTATATGAAAACCATGATCTAAGCTTTTCATATATTCAGACTGGTTGCTTGTGATATATATTCTCTGGCTTTCTTATTTTTTCAAGGTATTAATAGCTGTTAACATTTTCAAAATACTGTCATATATATAGCATTGAAGTAAGTATATATCTACTAAAAGAGCAGGGAAGACTCATTTACTCTGAAATTGTATTTTTCCTTTGGTATTTGCTACAGTGAAAAAAAATGGAATGTAGAAATATAAAGACTTGGGAAGGGAATTGTTTACCATGAAAGAAAAAGAAAAAAGAGTAATAATAAATAAATTTTTTAAAGCATTTAGGGATTGAAATTTTAAAAGGTTAACCCGTTTCTGAGTGACTTTGTAAAGACACATTTGGAAGAGAATCTAGTATTAAGAGACTAGTATCTTTTTAAAAATTGTAAGAAATGTGATTATTGGAATATTCAAGTAAAATAAGTAAGTTTTGAGAGGTACAATTAGGGAAGATATAAATATATCTAAATATAAATTTTGTAACTCTAATTTGGACATCATGAGCATTTGAAAAGTGTAAATTCCAGAGTCAAAAAGGCATTCAGCATGGTGGAAATGTGTAGTGTTTACTGGCTGGAAAGGATGGGGCTGAAAGAAACAAGATAAAATATTAAAATTAAGAATGTAGGCATTACCTCAGGGAAAAGCCTTGACAGTGAAGGGAACTACTTAATCGCTAATAGCTAGTCTGGACCAGACACTTAACTGCTTTGGGAATCATCCTGCACTAATCAAGAAATAAACTTGACTTTTATATTTCTCTGTGAAGCTTTTCAGGACATACCCCACCTCCTCTTTCCTTTTTTTTTTTTTTTTTAAGCTACAGTATCTTGATTCATACTGCCATTCCTGAAATACCCCAAATGGATTTTTTTTAGGACCCTTGAGTGTTTTTGTATGAAGAATCATGTGATCTTTCTAAAACCATGTCATTCAGTTAAATAATTCATAGAGAGAATGGTTTAATTTAAAGGAGGCCCTAATAGGAAGAAGATTAAAGGAAGCTTTTAGTCAGCCTGTGGCTAGATTTATTGATTTAGTGATCAGACCTGTGTTCTTTCCTGAATTTCAGCTAATGGCAAACTGTGGTCAAAGAATGGCTTTCAGCAAAGTTTTGACTTATAAATAATATAAAGAATGTATTAGTAATTAGAAATCCTTTAAAGAGCAAATGTGGCAAATAAGACTCATATCATTATACAAATTCCATTTCTTTTTATAAGAAAAACACAAACCATTATCATTTATTCATGAGCCAAAGCCATTAAGAAGAAAAATCAAGTTATCAGCTTCCTGTCTCACTGAAGTTTGGATCATTTTATAGATCCATGTAATAGCTTCCTTCCTATGAAACAAAAACCTTGAGACCTAGCTCTTCTAAATAAATTCTTAGTTTTATTAAACAATTTTTTGGGTCAGTTTTAGCTCTAAACAAAGCCAAATAGGTTATACATTAATTTTGGTAAAGCAAGTGTCACAGGAAAGCAGACAATTATAAGGTATTCCTGGAGACAATATAAGAAAAACAATGTTTAGATGTAAAATAGCCTGTGTGTTAGGTCTTAATGCCCAAGTGAATAAAAGGTTTTAAGTAGATTATTGTTTCTACTTCAGAAAAAAAAATCTTTATAGTTTTGATTTTAACATAATCAGTTTTACATTCATTTTTATTTAAAAAGAATGAATAGCACAAAGTGTTCTTTTCTGTTTTAATGACCTACTACAAATGAGTAATGCTATAAGAGTGTACAAGACTCTTGTATGTATTCTAATACATTAAGATATTGGACACAAAATGAAGGTAACTTTTTGAAACTGATAGGCTTCTAAGTAGAAGAAATATAGACTAATGGATAAAACCCAATGGAAAGATATTTAGGGCACATGAGCCCTACTTCAAATAAATTAGAAATCCTATTTCAAACATTTTTTATTTCCTTTTTAATTTTGAGTACATTTACTCAATCCTAAGTCTTCTTTGCCTTCATTTCCTAACAGAAAACATAGGTAATATATGTCACTTCTTGAAGGTCAATTCTTCACTTAGGACTCTTGGAGCATACTTGAAAATCATTTCCTGTACAGCTCTTAAATACTAACGTGATGATAGGTTTTCAAAGTATCTCCTTAGAAAACACTACAGATTTTTTAGTCTGTAGTAGGCTTTCTTGGCTTGGTTTGACAAAGTACAATTTGAATTTATGGTTTGGACTCTGCAATTAGATGCACAATTGCAATTTCCTCCTACCCTTAATAAGGTTTATCTAAGATTGATATTTGCCTAAATTGTTTTAAAGGTTGATTACATTTGCAGGAAGTAAAGATAATCCATTTTACTGTGGTTAAAATCAAATCTAAGCTTTCAGACTTGAGTGTAAACTCAAGGTTTACTTTAATTACGCTGACTTTGTTAGAATTGGATAGATTCCGTATAAACCAAGTATGAATTTCATATATACTTGAATGTACAGAGTTTAAGTAGTAAATTCACAAAACTATTAGGACTTACCAGTCAGGTTTGTGTGATCCACCCCTTACCCAAAAAAAGTAGATTGTTTCCATTATTATTTCTATTTCTGAAATTGAATGTTTCTTCTTGGATGTGAGTTCAAATAAATTTATCTGAATAAATTTTCATTTCTTCTTAATTAAAACTTAACATAAAATCCAAAGGCTTTGTATTTTATTTAAAATACACTGTATATTCACACATTTAACTTAAAATCTGAAAAATTTTAAAATCTCTACTACACATTTCCTAATTTGTAATATACTCCTTCCAGTTTTTAGTGTTAGTTTGGGTCTTACAGAGCAGATGACCAAGAAGGGATTAAATGTGGCAAGAGATTTACTGGGAGGAAAAACACCTATGAAGGATAAAGGGGAAGGGAGCAGCTTAGGAAATACCACATTGCAGGTCTGACGTCTGGGAAAGAAACAGGAAGAGTAGAGTGGGCTTCAGACTTCAGTGCAATTCTGAGAAAAGGCAGATGGGGATTTAGTTTTACAGGTTGCCTGTAGGAGCCCACTTGGGACAGGAATGGCCAGTCTATAACCCAGCAGGCACAGTTATTGGCAGGGAGCATGGGAAAAGCCAGAGGCTGTCAGTCACTAATACCACCAGGACTAGGGTGAGGTGAGTGAGGCACTCAGGCAAAAAATGTTTCTGATGAGTAATATTTTGGTGCATTTTAAGATAATGTAAACAAAAAAAAAAAACCTTGTGAAAATTTTAAAGATAGCACTGTTTTACTGACTTGCCTCTCAGGCTTCCTTATGACTCCACAAGGCACTGCTGATTTACTCACTGCCTCATAGGAGGGCAGAGTAGGTGGTTCACACCAGCGGTATTTTCCATAGCCCACTGCGCCTTTCCAAAAATGCCTTCCCCAGGTTTAGGTATTTGAAGTTTCTCTATTGCTCATTTTTCAGTATGAGAATTGTGTGTGCTGTGGTGCATACTCAGATGTCTTCGTTTAAGCAATTTATAGTAAAATATCTGCCCACTGACCCAACGCCTTAACACAAAAAAGCAAATGTAAGAATAATGCATACTTTAAATGTATATTTAACATGTAAAGTATATGTATTATATGTACATAAAATGCACACCATATAATTATGACTATTACTAGCTAGCAGGTTCATTGAGGACTTGGGGCCATATGTCAATCATTTTTCAGGCCTGGCACAAAGTAGGTAGGTAACGGTTTATTCAAAAATGAGTATGTGGGGAGAAGACAGATTGATTAGGAAAAAATCTGGAAGAAGAACTGTTCTTGTAACTAATAGCAATTTGTCGGGCCATTTGCAAAAGTCTTCCCATTTCTGTATTTTTCCTTTAGCTCTCCCGGGTTTTGGTCCCCGGTTTGGGCGGCATCCACACCCAGTCAGCTTTTATATGGAGGCCTGGAGCGTAGGGAACCCAGACCCTTAAGCCACAGCAGGAACTAAGTTAGCAGTTTCCGCCAGGCTGCCCAGAACGTCCCTGGCCACAGGCGTTTCCTCCAGGCATTCGGAACTCGGGGAAAACCGGGGAGCTTCCGCCAGCCCACCGGTAACAGACGGCGTCCGCGGCGCGAGCACCAGGAGCAGCTGTGCCTCCGGCGACCTGCAGGGGGCGCGCGCGGCCCGGCCAGGCCTGGCCCCGATGCGAGGTGGGGCGCGGGCGCGGGCGGCACGCTCGGCGCTTGGCGCTTCCTGTTCCGGCGCCAGGAGGAGCCTGCCGCTGCCGTGTTGCTGCCGCCGCTGTCGCCTGTGTCGCCGCTGCCATCAATCAGGTTGCGCTCGATTCTTCAGCGCCCGGTTCCCTCGGACCCATCGCCGCTTCTAGACCTTGCTGCGGGCTCGGATCTTGCCGGGTGAGGCTGCCTTGTCTAGCGCGGGGTCGTGGAGGGGGGCGAGGAAGCGTGCGCAGTTGAAAGGCGCGCGCGGTAATGGAGGGACCTCGGTAGCCTCTTTTAGGGCTGGGACTCAGCGTCTGTCCCCGTCGGCCTCCGAGCTGTCTCCCGTAGCCCCTCGGAGAGAAGGCATCGGAGCGGTGACGTAGCATCCGAAGGGGTTCTGCGCCCTTGACGTCAGCCCTGGCTGGGGGCGGGGCGGGGCGCAGGCCCGGCCCCTCCCCCACCGCCTCCCGGGCGGGTGCGACCCGCCCCGAGGCCGATTCGCTCCGGCGGACCCCGGGCTCGGGCTCCCTTTGTTCGTTGTTCTTGCGTAGCTGCGAGCCGGCCGTCCCTGGGTTCGACCCCGTCTCCCGGTCATTAAACTGCGGTGAAGAGAGGGAGGCCTGAGTACTTGGAGGAATCTTTGACGCTTGCTTGAGATCATGAGCGGTGTGACGACAGCGTTCTGCTCATTACGAGAGGAGCTGCCGGTTTAATACTTTGGAAGCATACCCATGACAGAAACTGAGAAATGCTGAGTTCTGTAATAGTCCCTTTTTTAGGTTTTAGGACTGTACATTAAGGAAGATAGATTATAAGTTAGCCGAACCGTTTTCCTTTTTGAAAACCAAGAGTGGTGCTTTTTATAGGTAAAGATTCTAATGGCAGAAGCGTCACATCATACGCATCTGGCCGGAAACATTTTTATAGCACTACCAGGAAAGAAATACACGCTCGTACACTGGTGGTTGTAGAGGCCCCTTTTGAAAATGAACATTCATTACAGCTCAGGGTAGCATTCGGAACAGAAATCTTTAAGGAGTCCTTTGTTCGGTGATGTTCGTTGGGCAGGAAGAATTGTAAATTTGTCTTTTACTGGCGTCTCCGAACCTGCTGTTCAAAACTAGCTTGTCTCAGAAACGAGTTAAGTTGGAATTTTCTTTTCCTCTCCAGGAGAAACAAGACCCATCCCTTAACCGAAATCCTCCTTGATGCTAGTGTGTAGTGTGTTTTTGACCTCAGAAATCTGGATTTTATCTTTAGATTTTAGGAAGAGTAAGGTGTTTAGATGAGAAACAACACCCCCAGCAGAGTCGGGGCAGCATCCTGTAGTCCAGCACTAGTTATCTGTTCAGCCATAGATGTGAATTAACGGAGATCTAAATAGCCTCAGGTCAGGTTTTGCCACCAAGAAGGTATTATGCCAAACTTGGGAACGTTTCTTTCATTTTCAGAGGTTTCTGATTTAAGAACTGCAGTTAAAAGATTTGTGGACCTGTAATCGCCATTGTAAAAGCTGACATTACTTGAGTTTTGCTATGTGCCAGACAATGGCTAACAGATTCCTCTTTATACAGGTCTCACAGCAAATCTGTGAGATGGATACTATTTTTGTCTGCTTTTATCTTTGAAGTTTGGAGAGTTCAACTTATCCAGAGCCAGCCAGTGAAGACCTACAGTTAAGTCAGTCAACTTTCAGTCTTCACTCTTTTAATTATATGCTCTATGCCCACATACAGAGGAAGACAAGAAAATATACATGTTGCCCACCCCCTATTTTCCAAGCACTATTGTTATAGGCACTTGATTGACGAATCCCCCCATCCCTTGCTCCAGGCTCTTTCCTTGTTTTCTGTGCAAACACCACCTCTCAGGATTCCTCTGATATTCCCTTCCTTGATTCCTGTAGGAGCTCTTTGAAACAGTCCCTTAGTGCCCTGGGCTTACCCCAGTAGTGGAGAATTAGTGCTCCACTTGACTGTGAACTCCTTAAGCATTTTTTCCATGTCGTCTTACTCACTTCTCCAAAGCCCAACATATTACCTGGTACATAGGTTCCAAAAAATATCTGAATAAATACAGAAAATCTGGCTCACATGAAGCTGTTGAAAAATAACTTTTAAAAATTATGTGTTTTAAAGAAATTAAAAATACTCAAAAACTCAAATCCCCAAAATCTTGAGTTGCCCATGTGTAAAATAGAACATATATGATAAAAGGGCCAATAAAAACTATCATATGCTCTAGTACAAAATTTGTATTATCAATACAGTATATTACCATCATCTTCCCCCATACTAAACAAGTACAAAAATCCTCATTTCCCTTAGTTTCTCTTAAACATTTCACATGTGTATAGCACTTTATAGATAATTAAACGTGTTGCTTTTAATTATCTGTGAAGTAGTAAAGAATTGTAACTTTTGCAGATGAGAAAATGGTGTCTGGTTAAAAAATTTGCCTTTGTCAAAAGGCTCAAAGGATTGATGTCCAGGTTCATGCCTGCCGTGGTCTCATACTGTTTATCACCCCACCACAATCTGATGGCCCTTTGATACCTTCTTTGTCTAGTGGTCGCTAGTAATTTAAGGAGTCAACTTCCTTAAACCTCCCCATGATTGAATTACCGTTTTTACTTTAAAGGCCACGGGAGTTACAGGAATGTTTTACTTTTCTAATTTATGTCAAAAGAAATTGTGTACTCTGTCTTAAAATTACTATTTTTGCTGCTCCGAAAATAAAATGATTACTTTTTAGGTGATGCATTGATCCTGCCATGAAGTAGTAATGGAAAGTTTTGGAAGTAATAGCTTTAGATTATTCCAAAAAGAAAAAAAGTCTTTCTTGACTATAAACCTTCTTTTTTTTTTTTGGCAATTTCAAGGGTACATTAGCCTCATCTTAAAAATTTGCATTATCCGGATGTTTTGGAATTGGAATAATTTTTTTTAATCTAGATTTTTTTTTTTTACATTCCACAACTCTTCTCATTTTGAAGCACTGATGCCCAACTCTTTATTTTTTCCTTTTTATTATGAAAGTATCCCAAAGAGTAAATTGGAATGTTTCCAATTAATACGAACACTATACCAGGCATGGAGAATAGCTGATTTCACTACACAGTGCTGTGGAAAAGGAAGTGACCGATTTCTAATCCCTGTGGTCAGGGCTTCATTATTTTTTTTGGTATCATTAATCTACAATTACATGAAGAACATTATGTTTACTAGGTTTCCCCCTTTACCAAGTCCCCCCTACAAACCCCATTACAGGGCTTCCTTATTTTAATCATAAGATTCTAGTACCTTGTATATTTTCCAGGACTTGCTTTTAAACTTAAAATTTTTGAAAGCCAAAGTTGTGAATCAGCTTAGTATTATTAACTTAGGGAATAATTTAATACTTTAATGGAATTCTATAACTAATTAACATCATGTTATATTCATATGTTCTTCAAAAACTAAGAGGGAAAAGAGTAATACTGAAAACTTAACACAGCAAGACCATGTAAAATTGAATGGGTTGCTTTGGTAGTTAGTTCTCTGCTCCAGAAGTGATGTGAACTTTCATACAGGACCATTTTCTATTTCAGAAAGACTCACCCTGCTTGAAAAGAATGTTAGTCTGAAGTAGACTTTAAATTTGTCATGCATAGTTTCAAGTGTTAATTCTAAGAATTTGTTGTTGTCATGTAACATTTTAGTATGAAACAAACCTTAACATGGAAATGAATGGATGATTGTATTTGCTGTACATTCAAGATGTGTTTTTGGTATTCAAAATATAAAGCAAAGTTACAGCAGTAGTGACTTAATCGATTGCATAATCTTTTCTTTATCATTCCTCATGATAACCAAATTGTACTTAAAAAAAATAAGTGCTGTAACTGGGTTTGAACCCTTTACTTGTCACTAGCTCTGTGACCTTAAACAAGTTAACTTGATAAAGTTCTTTTCTTGTCAGTAGCAGCATTAGAATGTGTTAAAGGTAGCTTGTCAGATCAGTTGAGAAAAGATAGATTATTCAGTTATTATTGTTCAGAAGAAAAAAATGAAAATTTTAAATAAGTTAAACCATATAAATACTATTAGAAAGCATAGTGAATTTTTTTGTCTCTTATGACAGTTAATCTCCTTGCTGTCTTACAAAGCATTAAAAAAAAGCTGTGGTACTAAGTGATAAAATGATCAAAGGCAAAGAATAACTTACTGTATTACTGTTTATATGAAGTCAAAGAACAAGCAAAAACTATGAAAGCAATTACTGACTAAGAAGGGAGTTGATTAGAAAGTAGCCTCAGTAAACCTGAATGGAGGGAAATGTTCAATATCTTGGATGGTTACAGGGACATACACAGTTGTTAGAGCTTATTGATGACACTTAAGATCAGTGCATTTTATTGTTAATTACACTTCAATTTTAAAAATTGATGAAAGTGGTCAAAAGACATGGGCAAATTCACAGAAAAAGAATTACAAATGGGGTATTAAATGAAAAGATGCCTTATTTTCTACTTAAACATGTTGTAACTTACATGTTGTAAGTTAACTTAACTTACATGTAACTTAACTTACATGTAAGTTACATGTAACATGTAACTTAAACATGTTCTAACTTACATGTTGTAAGTTAAAACAACAGAATGCAATTTAAAATCTATTGTAACTGAAAATGATTTACAAACTTAATATCCAGTGCGTGAGGAGGAGTAAAAAAAAAGGGAATCAGTGTAAATTGGCAGGGAAATTTAAATTGGCATGGACTTCTGAGATGGATTTTAGGTAACCTTATCTATTGACTGAAAATTTCAATTCTTGTGTTTTTATCCTGGTGATGGACACAAAGATAATGTGTTCAGAGATGTTCACTGTATCATTTTTTAAAACAACTCAAAATGAAAAAAGCCTAAATTGCCACAAAAATAAGAGTATAAACTAAATTATAGTTTACTTTTGTATGATGTGTATCCAGTAAAAAGGGATGAAGTTTATAGAAATATATGAACTATTATGGAAAATTTTCCTACATAAAGAAAAACACATTACATAAATGGTTGGTTCCATTTAAGTAAAAATAATGTATGCATACAAAGTTCTTTAAAGAATATATAAGAAATGGTAAACACTAATTTTGAAATACTCCTTTTTTCTTTCTTTCTTAGGAAAATGTCTGATGAATTTTCAGTAAGTTGATGCATTTATCTTTTGTAAGTTTTGTGGCTCTTAAGAAAAACAACATAGTCCTAACTGTTGGCCATAAGTCTTATAACATCAAAGATATGCTTTATTGTGATTATTGAATTTTTTTTTTTTTGGTGTGTGATTTAGATCATTTGCATTAATTTACTTAGATATAATATGTTTGAAATGGCATTCTGTAGGATATGTTTCATTACAAATCCTTAGGTTAAAAAATTTTTAGGTGTTGACTTCTATTTTTCTCTTTTAATCTGGTAGTGTTAATAATAGCCAGCATTTACTGAAAGTTATATACCAGGCACTGTGTTAAGTGTATTTTATGTATTATCTCATTTAAACCACTGGTAACCTCTAAATGGTTTATTTTGAAAAATGAGGAAACTGAAGCTCAAAGAGAGTATGTAACTTTGAGGTAAAGCCAGGATTCAGTTCCACAGTATGTTGATTAATTCTGTTGAGAAAATTTGAGCTTCTCTGAGGAATTTGCATAAAGTTGACATTCATGGTGACCCCTCAAGTTTATATTAAATGAATTGCTTTTAAACTGAACAGCATAGCTTTTGAAGATGTTATAGATAGAGCTTTATAATCCCTGGCCCTATACCTTAACTGCCCTTTATAGGTTTATAATCAGTCGTGCTTGACATGACTTATCTGTGAGTAAGACTGATAAGAGATGCCTGTTTTGCATTGCAGTTGGCAGATGCGCTACCTGAACATTCCCCTGCCAAAACTTCTGCTGTGAGCAATACAAAACCTGGCCAACCTCCTCAGAGCTGGCCGGGTTCCAACCCTTGGAATAATCCAAGTGCTCCACCTTCTGTGCCATCTGGACTCCCTCCAAGTGCAACACCCTCCACTGTGCCTTTTGGACCAGCACCAACAGGAATGTATCCCTCTGTGCCTCCCACTGGGCCACCTCCAGGACCCCCAACACCCTTTCCTCCTTCTGGACCATCATGCCCCCCACCTGGTGGTCCTTATCCAGCCCCATCTGTGCCAGGCCCAGGCCCCACTGGGCCATATCCTACACCAAATATGCCCTTCCCAGAGCTTCCACGACCATATGGTGCACCCACAGATCCTGCTGCAGCTGGTCCGTTAGGTCCATGGGGATCCATGTCTTCTGGACCTTGGGCACCAGGAATGGGAGGGCAGTATCCTACCCCTAATATGCCATATCCATCTCCAGGGCCATATTCCACTCCTCCTCCTCCCCAAGCACCAGGATCAGCACCACCTGTTCCATGGGGCACTGTTCCACCAGGAGCCTGGGGCCCGCCGGCATATCCTGCCCCTGCAGGATCATATCCCACACCAGGACTCTATCCCACTCCCAGTAATCCTTATCAAGTGCCTTCAGGACCTTCTGGTGCTCCACCCATGCCTGGTGGCCCCCATGTGAGTGTTTAATTTGTTATTTGACATGCACTGATAGTCACATAAACACAACTGAAAGATTATTTGTCTCCAGTTTGGATGGAAGATTAGAAAGCTTTTAAAACTTTAATGAAAAAAAGGTGTATGTATATAACAGTACATTATGAATTTCAGGTAAAGCATTCAAAAGTATGAAAACATAAGTATTCCTGGTACTAAAAATAGATTTCCCAAAGATCGTATAAGACTTTATAATGTAGTAAGCAATGTCTTCAACAGCATTCTTGAGGAAACTCAGAGATTTGTTGGATATTTTTCTTTCAACATGGCTCAGTAACGTTTTCTAGTGCACCAAAGCACAGTTCAATAGAAGCAATCTCTGGCTGGCTGGCTTGATACAGATGTACATTTTTAGGGAATACAGGGCAGGGAATATGTAACATTGCTTATCTTTCATGCAACTCTCCATAGTTCTTAGCCAAGGTTTATTAGATCCTTAGCAGCAACTCTCCATAGTTCTTAGCCAAGGTTTATTAGATCCTTAGCAGCATTGACCTCAAGATTATACCGTTCTGCATTATCAGTTAATGCTTCATGCTTTACTGTCAGCCAAGCTGGAGAAGGGTTGACATCTTACTTTTAAAAAGTGCCAGTTGAGGAACATATCTTGGACTATGACCAAATAGGAAGCACCCTGCTTCCCCAAGTGAGTATCCAAACGCAGTCATAATTTTCCTAGAGGAGAAAAAAATGTATTTACTCTTAACAAAAAAACTAATCAGATCTCCAGCTATATTAATCAAACATATATCTCATTTGTAAAGGAAAAAAAGTCTTAATAAAGTGCCCCCAAAATTTCCTTTCATTAGTGTAAATTTCTTTCTGTGTCTATTCTCTTAAACAGTTGTTTTTGCAAATTGTATGCCAAAATAAATGAGATGACTTGCTGTTTGGATTTATTAAACAGTAAGTTTATTTTAAGTCACAGCAAGGAGTTAATAAACTCCATTTACAAAATCTAGAAGTTTACTTTTTCTTTTTTCTATTGCAGTCTTACCATTAAGTTAACAATGGATGAAGAGATGACGCTTTGCTTTTTGAAGTACATGTATATGCAATGAATGCATATATAAAAATTGCTGGTTTCACTATTCTTAGAGGGCATTCATGAAAGAACAACTTTTGAACCTCTCAGAAGATATCTGCCTCTTTTACTTGGATGTATAGTACATCTGATGGATACAATCACAAAAAAATGTAAAAGTAAATCATTCAAATGTGATTTTTATTCGGTTTTTATGAAAAGTTAAAATGGTAAAGTATATTGACAGCTCTTTGATACAATTTAAAAGAAATTCTTGGTTTGTTTAAATTATGAAACTTCATGCTTACAAATCTAAGATGATGTGGATTATTGTTAGAATCTGCAACCTCATTGGCAAATTATTTTAAGTATTTTTCTATAACCATTTTTCCCCAAAATAAACACACTTTGGAAACAACTACATTGTCATAATTTAAACAAATGATGCCTATCAACATCTTTAGCTCCTCTATCTGTAGGTTAAATAATCCTGGTCCTCTTGAGGTTATATTCTGGATATACATTTTAAAGCTATTGGTAAAGTCATGTGTTGAGTTCATTAGCCAAGCAGTGTTCATTCTTATTCTTGAGCTTTTAGTAAAAAAACTTCCTTCATTTTGAGTTCCACCTGGTTTGTTTTCTTTTTAGCCATATGCACATCATACAGCTCTAAAACCTGCCGTTTATGGAAACTAACTTTTTTCCTTTTAATGCAGGACATTATGTATGTAAATTATGTTCTTAGACATTTGGTGATATTTTTGTGTTGCTTTGGAATAGATTTTGAGATGTCATATATACTTGAGAAGAGCTTAAGGAGGGAAATAATTCTCTCAAACCTCAAAGTAAAGGAAGCCCTGGGAATTGCTTCGTGTAACAAGTAATTTGCATTCCCACAAAACAGTCTCCTACCCAGACCCTCCTCTGTAGCAGCCCCTCCCCGCCCTCAGTTCTTTAGAAGGAGCACATCCCTTAGTTCCTCCCTGATACAGGAAAACTGGCACATTCTAGGGGTCTAATAAAACATGTAGCAATTATGTTTAGAGAACCTTAGTCATACAGACATGACTGTTCTCTTTGTACAAGTGAGATCAAAATATGTATGAGTCAGAGTCCGGTTAAGCTGTGTTGCTGTCTCTTGCATAGTTTCCTGCATCTGTTTGTACAGTGCTTATTGCTAACAGTTCAGTTTTATATTTGTTGACAGGTAAATAGGTAGAATTGAGTGCCATCCTTAAAAATTATCCTCTAGCTAACACTGAAAATAAAGTGTAGATATCTGTGGTTGAGTTTAAAACAGTGTGACTCTTGTTATTCAAATTGCTGTTTGTAACCACCAGAATAACCTGAGTAGCTTTTTGTTACCTTAACTTTAAATCAGATAATTAAGATTTGGGATAAAACTGTGTTACTTGTCAAAATAACTTTGAAACTTTGGATGTATCCATTGGGTTAGTAAAATATATTGTGAATTTCTCTATCAGTACAGGAGAGAGTTATGCTTGAGCTCTTGTTTTTGCTTAGAAATAAAATATTTAGTAGTTTTTATTTCTTTTAAATTTAAAATATCAAGAATGCCAAATGCTGCCAATTTAATGGTTTGGTTGTTACCTCCTTTTAAAAAAGCAGGATGGTCACTTATGAGAATAGTGTTTATTTAACCCTCCCTCTTAAGTAGATGATAGATTTAAGCATTCAGAATTGAAATTAATTTGTTTAGATATTTTCAGACTGGGGAGTGTAGTTAGGCAGCTCTTACATAGTGGCACAGGTGGTCTTTTTCTTTGATTTTCTTGCAAGGAGAAGTGCCAGCTATCTAATAACACTCTTGGAATCTGTTCTCAAAGTAGCGTCCAGTTTATAAGGCAGTAGCTTTAGAAGGTGTCATAGGTTAAATCATCACTCAGTATCATAGTCAGCTGACTCTGAAGGGATAAGATGTTAAGAGAAGTGAGATGACATCAAAGATAACTCTCCCTGTGGTTATTTTGATTGTCCTACATTGGTATAAGCTGTTAACTGGCTTTAAATGTAATGCTGGAGAGGATAGTGTTTGACCAAAAGAAGAGAGGTAGCAAGGTTGGGAATCTGTAATATAGAGTCCATTTATTATTATAGAAAATCTTCTGCTAAAGGATTTGAAGGACCATAAACACGAGATTTGGTATTAGTACTCCCAATAAGTATGTTAACTTTGCTAGTGATACATACTCTCCACTGTTTCCCCAGAGGATACCTGTTTGCTTTTCCAGTACTCTCCAACTGGTAATTGGGGAAAATTTTGTTACCATAAGAATGGAAATCAAACCAAATATAATTTGCTTTTATAATCTTTTTAATTCTTCACGGTATCATTTCTCAACTTGAGGAGGTCTCAGTTCTTGTGGGTACTTGGGGCAAAAAATATTTTTAGCTCCAGGATGGAGTTAAGAAAAGCAGAAGTTGTTTCAGTGGAGGAGTGAGGAAACGTAGGAAGGTTTTTTCTCTTCAAGGGAATACTGCTTTCAAAACAAGTTATGCTGGGCTGAAATTGGTTTATGGAATATGCTTGTTAGGATATTTGGTCTTCAGGGAATATGAAGTATGGAATATGCTGGTGTTTAGACTTTAAGAGCAAGAATTTTAAGATAAGTTTGATGGAGATAATTGAGATGTAATGAAGAGTCATCTTCCTGGAGTTGGAGTCTTAGATTCTGAAATATTGAACCTAAATATGACAATGAAAAAGTCAAGATCTTAGGTCTTCATTCACACACTCAGTTCTCAAGATCGGGACTTCTTAAAGGAGTAAAGTACCCGGCCTGGCAGCTTTTCATGCTTTTGAAGATCGCTCTTTACAGCTCTGATTCCCTGGGCCTGTTTTGTGTAGAGTAATATATTGATTATTCAGGAGTAGACAATGCTTTTTTTTTTTTTTTTAGTTATCTAAGGGCTTCTTCCTTTGTCAGTTTTACTGTTTACTGTTTTCAGTAGAGAATCATAAAAAGGCAGAAAAGAAAGAATTTTTGGCTTTGGTTTGTCACACCACTACAATGGAATATTGGAATATTTTCTAGGAAAAAAGTCAGTTTTGCCCATGATATTTTACCTCACAAATAATTAGTGCTGCCTATTGTACTCAAATATGCAGCATTTGAAACTGTGTAGATGAACAGAACTCAAAGTTTCGATTAAAATACTGTGCCTAGTTTGCATATAAATCACTTGCCTATACTTCTCCATGATTAGTGCCAATTTCTTCCTCAACCTGAATAATCTAGTGCTAGATTTATAAAATGTCAGGGTCATAAACTTTAGAAATTAAATCTAAGCACAGACTTTCATGTGTAAAGTCTTTGAAAAGCATAACACTGGATTGGGATGGATCCATTGATTAACTGCACTTCGCAGAGAATGGCGGATAGCTTTCAGAGAAGACTGTAGTCTTCATAAAGCAGTATTTAGTAGCGAAGACGGACACTTTTTATTTTCAGAATTCTGCCAAGTGAAACAAAAATTGCCAATAAAATAATCAGTATTAAAGAGATGCCACGCAAGCTTCTGGCTATCGAAAATATTTGAAAACTGCATTCATTCAACAGACACTTCAATGTCCCTGATCCAGATGGTTTACCAGATGCCAGAGATCAGAGATGCCTGAGTGCATTCTCTGCATTCATTCAACAGACACTTCAATGTCCCTGATCCAGATGGTTTACCAGATGCCAGAGATCAGAGATGCCTGAGTGCCTCCCTAGAAACTATGGTCTAGGTGAGGTTGGCATTGGAGAATTCGTTGGTCAACCTGTTATTAGTTTACCTAGATAAACATACTTTAGTATTGCTGTTGGTGGAAATTATAGACCAGCCTGTGGCCATTTTAAAGAGTAAAATATGGGGTACCTTTTTTTAAGATAAATGAATTTTTGAGATTGTGGTGTTTGTCAGTGCAGCTACTCAAGCAATGGGATGATTTCCTCTTCACTCACCTGCCGCCCCCGCTGCCTTCCTAAAGGCACTTTCACTGCCTGTGCTTGGTTAGCAGACACTGACTTGGTGTTAAGGAAACTTGACTCAATGTGTTCCCTGAAAAGACTTTCTGTATTTTCCCCTTGATATTGTGACTTTTTTCATTTGACTTAATGATATTTAATGTATGTAATTGTCTATGCATTTTAAGTTAAACTGCCTAAGATGTGATTTGAGACATAGACATTTGTGTTATGAATTGTAAGAAATCTGCTTGAGACATTAGATTTTATCACCTACTGCTGTATTTGTAAACAAAGGCAAATGTTTCTTTAAAAAGTAATTATAATTAGGAATAGTCTATGGATGTGATACTTGATTTTTTAAGATAAATTTGTTTTTGTGTATTACACCTGAAAACTTTTTTAAAAAATGTATTTTCATGGTTTTAGTTTTTTCCTGTATTTTATTCTTTAGGCCCAATTTTAGGTTTACCTGAGCTGAGCCTCAATGGCAAAATTGTTGTCACAAAGAAAAAAGGGGCCTAAGACATTTCTGGTGTGTGACCTGCATTCCCCAAGGCATTTACGCGGACTGCCTGGGGACAGCCCTTCCTCCCGTGCCTCTTTGAGCAACATGGCATCTGCTGTGTGGGTTTTCTCTTACCCTTCAAGGCTAGGCTATTCTTTGTAACCAGGTTACCTATGTAAACAAAGTTAGGGAACCTTCCTTATCTGTCCTGCTGCCACCACCCCTGTCTCCTTTATGAAAGAAAGAGTTCTTTTCTTGTGGTAACTGCTGTGCCTGTAGTGAAGGTCACATTATTAAACTTAGGGTGGTTTGCTGTTTCCTTTCCACAAAGAAGGCCTTTCTTAAACCCCCATGTGAGGACAACTATGAATGAGTAAATGATTTGTAGTACATACTACTTTTGAAAGGGATTTCTACATTTTGCCTTAAAATTGGACAAAACACAACTGTTTCATTTGATGTCGTCTTTCATATCCGCTAAAAGTACCCACCTAAAATAGAGCTGTGAAATAACTAATGGAACACAAGATCATTTTGGAGCAGGGCTTGTTTTTTTCCCCATCATAAAATGCCATTATTTTTCTCATGTGGACATTAAACAGTTTATTTTATATGGTATTTTGTAGTGCCCAGTAGTCCCAGGAATGAGGAGACGTAAGGGGTCAAGCTTAGTTCCTCTGTTCACTGCTCCCACTAGAGCAATTCCACTCTCCCACTTAATATATTTTATTTACTGTATTAGCTTGGGCTGCTGTAATAAAATAGCATAGACTGGGCATCTTAAACAACAGGAATTTCCCACAGTTCTGGAGGCTGAAAGACCACAAAGTGCTGGCCAGTTCTGTTCTCTGGATTGGGAGCCTCCTGGCTTGCAGACCACCTCACTGTGTCCTCACGCAGCGGAGAAAGGAGCGGTCTCTGTGGTCTTGTAACGACACAGTCCCATCGTGAGGCCCCCACCATCATGACCTTACCTAAACAAGTAACTCCCAATGGCCCTTTCTCCAGATATCATTACACTGGGCTTCAACATGAATTAGGGAAGTGGGGGGACCAAAAAGTTTGCTGCTTTTGTTTTAAATTATTGTAGATGACCATATTTCCTTGAGGTTTACTAAAATCATAATCGGAAATTTTGCAAGTATGATAGAATCTCAATCCATCTAGAATTCTCAGCTATATTTGAAGTGTCACTGTCACATTAAAGAAAGGAACTTTCAATTTAAGTCTTTGCTGTGGTCATGTTTTATATTAGGCCTCATTTTTTTTAAATGGTCATATAGACTAGCATTCCTTAAAGATACGTAGGTAAATAAAAACTCTAAGGTATAAGGAAACCTTTAAAAGACGAAGTAAATTCCCATTGTCATTACATAAATCATGGCACCAGCTGTGTCAACAGGGTAGGGTTTCTCCACTAGATTATCTTACTCAGGCACCAGTATCCTTTTTTGCAGTTCCTTGGGTGCCTGCGTAGACATTTGCTTTTTCTCTTCCACAGGACATCCTGACTAGTTCTTGTCCTCTTAAGAGGTCACTGAATAGATTCCAAAAGTATGGGAAAACTTGTTTCCTAAGATATACTTAGCTGGTTAACTTTTTAGATGAGGCCAAGTTAAATAGAGTTTCTTTGCGTGTCCTACTTCTTAACCAGCTTCATTTCCTGGGAGCTAATAATGTACACCTTACTTAAGCTCTTTCACCCTGCCTTTGAGATCTGGGAGACAGAGGTCTAGTTGACACTAATAAACAGTTTACACACACTATTTCAGTTAAGCCTCCCAACAAACCTCTGATGGACAGTTCTTACCCCATTTTATAGATGAAGCTAAGGCTAAGAGGATAGAGATCACATAGCTTTTATGTTATAGAACTGAAATTAGAATCATAGATGTGACTGCTATCAAAGCTTTTCTCTGTGCCTCTCTCTATACTACAAAATGGTGCTTTCCTAAGAACAGATTAGCCATATTCCATGTGTCTGGCATTGTGACCTTAGGGCTGTAGATGGCTTCCAAATTGTATACCTGGTAAGTCAAATCAAGCAGACCTTTCACACAGTTTATGTCATTGAATGAGTTTCACTGGGTACTTAATTTAAAAAGTGTTCATGTTTGAAACGCATATCCTTATAGTTCGATGAATAAGCATAGTTCTTAAACTGCTAACTTCAAACAGTAAAGTTTATTTTCATAAAGGCAAGTGATCTTCAAAGGTGTAGCAGTTAAGAGTAAGTTTGAAAATGGATGTGGGAGTTGTTACAAAAGGTACTGGATGACCAAGCTGCTAGCTCCAGGCTTGAGATTGTTGAGGGGACTGAGTAGCCCACTGCACTACAGGGAGAAAGAATTGGGCAAGGCCAGTGGCTGAGGCCTCCCTGTTAGCAGTGGATGAGGGAGAACTACAGGGGCGGGAGAGTGAGAGGGCGGTTCTGCCAAGTATGGCTTGATGGTTCTTTTTTTAAACCTGCCAGCTATGTTAAAACAGCTTAACTGTTGCTTAGTTACTGCCAGGCACAAATCCCAAGTACTAAACTTAATAAATACCTGGATCCCTTCTTGATGTCCAAAGAAATCTTTACAAAAAAAGACCAAACTACATGACTAATGATCAGCACTTGAACTCACGCTTTTTAATGAAGTGGGAAGGCCTCTCTACAAATTTGACAAGATTCCATATCTGAAAGGTGGTAATAAGTCTACAGGTCTCGTGAATCTAATAGAAATGTGATCAGAGTCTAGAAGGCAGTCCTTCCTGTTGAGTGTGCAACATTTGCCGGGGACCCAGGAGGCAGACTCTTTAGCTCAGAGCTCAGTTCTGCAGTGTGATTTGGTGCACTTGACTACTTTCCTGTGTTCATGTACCATATCTGTAAAACAGATGATAATGGTCAAAGTACCACAGGGAAAGATGGAGTATTCTTCCCCTCTAGCCAAAGGGATCTATGCAATGTACTAGCATAACTAAAAGATTATACATCTAATATACAGCATCTATATTATCTCTTAAAATCAGAAAGTCAAGATTGAGGGCTGAAAGTTACACAGTGTAGTAATGTATGTATTGAACACCAAGGTTGCACTGTAAGTCATAATCTTTGCCTAGAACAATTCTGGTTTATGTTGCCCAAGTATAATTACTAATAGCACCCTCCTTGCATTCTCTAAAGTATCCAGATATTAAAGATAAATTATATGGTTATTCTAACTATAATGAAAAAAAATACGTGAAAATTTTGTTTCCCAAGATTTAAAAAAAAACACTCATCCTAAAAAAGACATGTTTTACATAGAAGTTAACCTTTTATTCGTATATATTATTTAGGATGCCACTTACACTGCATCTTATAAAAATGAAGAAAAGTATCCAAGACACTTATTTGCATCTACATGTCTTTAAGCAAATCCTCAAAGTAGGAAGAGAGCACATTCTAGTCAGAGTTGGAAGCCATGCTGTTTTTAAGATAGAGAACCTAGATAGAGTGTTTGAATTGAGATTTCCTACTTTTCTGGGCCTCTCTTCAAAGGTTTCTGCCTCATGGCCTCAAATATGCCTGTACTCACGCCCCCACCCACCCCAGTTCTGAAAGGAATTTCCCATAAAGCTTCAAGTTTTTTCCTAACTTAATCCTCTCACAAACTGAATAGCACCCAAAATTATGTTGTCTTGTGTCTGCTGCAAACAAACAGCAAATGTACAATTGCATTTCATTTCCTCTAGCCCTAGGCTGACATGAATGTTTCTAAATCGAAGGAATTGGGGGGAGGGGGAGGGGGTTGGGCAGTGAAATTATTATTTCATAGTATGCATTAGCAACAGGGAATAAATGACAACTTGTTAAGTCACTTCAGAGTATCTGTTGACTGAAGTAATAGTTCTCATTTTTTGGTGTTTGAGACATGTTTTTCCATACTGGAATTTGTGGCTCTCCTGGAAGGATTAAATGCCTTGGCATTATCAGACTAGGTTTCCTCAGGCTGTTTAAGTAGAATGTCTGCTGCCACCAAGTTTTCTCACGTAAGTTACATGGCAAAATTCTTGCATGTTGTAGGAAATAATTTTTGTTTGGTGCTGTCTTAACGCCATACTCCCCCTTTCCTCCTGTAGTTTGAATCCTGTTGCAGTACCCACTCAGTTCAGCATTGTGACAAACATAGATAGCCATGTATGTCCCCAATTGTGCCAAAAATTCATTTTGTGCACTGGCCACAGTTTAGTAACACTCGTGTTCTAAGCACACTATTATGCCTCAGTGGTTATGAAGTTAGAATTAGAAACAGCTCACTGAAAATACCAGTTTGAATAGAAAGTGAAACCTTAAAATTTCAAAAGTTTGAATATCCATTTGCTGCTAGCACTTTTCATAAGAAAATACTTGGGAATTACATGGACTTATTCATCATAAATTATTCCTCTTAAAAAGCTCATTTTCCTATAATGAAAAGCATATTAGCATTACCAGGGGGAGGGTTGGGAGAGGGAAGCAACATGGAGGACTTGATAAGTGTCTGGTAATATTCTGTTGAATTGGGGCAAAGCTAAATGTGAGTTTCCATTTTATTTAACTCCAAAGATAAGTAATTATTTTGTATGTACAATTTGCATGTTTTTAAAAGTATAGGGAGCCTGAGCCTCTAATATTGGAAAGGAAACCCCAATTTCACCCAGACTCTCTTTGAGAAAGTTAGGCCTGAACATCAATGGTGACTGATTCCTGAGCTCTGAAACAGTAACATGAGACCATGCCTACAGTCGGTGTTTCTTCTTTGTACTAATAACTGAAGATCTCAATTACTTTAGGAACAGATGGTTGTCATTAAAACACAGGAGCAATAAAGGGTCCACCCATTTGTCAACTCAGGCTGATATCCAATCTGACAACAGCACCAAGAGATGTTCTGTGAAAGAGCATGCT